CGTAAGGATGAAACAACGCTGTGGCTACCACACTTTAACTTTCAGCTCTTCCAGATTATATAATTAAAGCAGGCAGTACAGTGCGATGGTTTCTGTCGTGTATGCAGCAACAGTGTTTGATAAATAATGGGAAGTTCTCAGGTGAGAAACGCTTTATGGAACTGATCGGAACCGAAAAGAATGCGAAAGCTGTTAGTTGCATGATCGATGAGGCAAGCAAGATCATAGATAAATAATAGCCGCTGCTGTAAATGGTATCAGTGATATGATGAAAAGTGAGATCAGCAAACAGCAGACCCGTTGAAGTTCAAATCCCTGCAGACTGCAAAATCGATCGTTCTCGCATAAAATCTGGTAGATGTGCTCGAGGAACATCCGTCCCAGGCGAAGCCTCTTCTTATCATCCAACTTTCTTTGCTTCGAAGATTTTCCCACACCCAGCATCAACATCTACAACAAACTGCATTTAATACCACCACTGATGGCGTTTTTTTTCTTTTTTTTGGCAACTTGTCATATTTGGCTTCGAAAATTTGAAATGCTTGACTAGTAAATTTATTTGAAAAGCTTGATTAGCAAAATTCCCGAAAAACCTGTTTTACTTCTACTTTTTTAGTTTGTACTGCTACTGCTTTAAATGAAAACTTTTGCATTTTATGTTGTCAGATCTTTTCAACTATGCTACTGTTTTAAATAAAGTTTCGGTGACTGGTAGGTTACTGCCATGGCGTACATGTTACTAGACTTCGTGGAGTGCGAAAACAGGAAAGTAAAGAGATCGGGGAAGTCATGTAGTGGCCGATCCTCAACGCATACCATAATTGCGCCAGAAAATTTTTATACTGAGAAAGACCGAAATTTTTATACTGAAAAATTGAATAGCCTTTTGGGCTGGCAACTCGCTTAATACTGGTTCTCGTTGCAGCCTCAAGGAAAACGAAATTCGCCATGGGTTCGAATAAGCGGTCTTTATATATCGCAAACCGCAAGAAACGCATCGCAATCTCAATTGCACGTTGAACCGAAATTATCAATACTTCCTGCCTATTATTTGACGCCGCTGAATGCCAAAGAAAGGCCCGAGGTTGCTCAAATTCAGCACGCAATCGACCGAAGATTAAAGTGACAGTTGCGGTAAAATCGTGCGCGCTTTGGCAATAACCCAGAATTCCACAACAAAAGCATGCGCAAAAAACGCGGTGAATGTGCGCTTGAAAAGCAAATAGTGCAGTGTGAATGCAATGACGAA